TACATTTTTTTCGTAATCTACATCATAAAGAATTTTTTGTTACTTTTTTGGGACTCCCGAAACGCCCACATAACGCACTGATGAGTTAATCCGCCATTTTCCAGATCCTAAGAAAATTTCCAATAAGATAGACGTTTTCTGGGCCGGTTGGTGCAGTGTCAAAATTTTGATAAGAATGGTGGCTGCGTTTGGATGAAACCTCGATTTTCTGAGTTATTTGTGGGCACATCGCAAAAAATAAGTACAGATTCATAACCTAAAGGAAATTTTCAATAAGATAGACGTCTCCCTGGGCCGATTTAAACGGTTTTAAAAATTGCACTAAAAATGGTTATTTGTAGACATATAACAAAAATAAGCACGGATTCGAGATTCTGAGAAAATTTTCAAAAAGAAAGACATCTCGAGGTGCAGTGTTAAAATTTTGCTGAAAATGTTGGATGCGCCCTGATGAATCCCCGATTTTCTTAGTTATTTGTGGACATTCAGCATAAATAAACACAGATTCATAATTCTGAGAAAATATCCAGTAAGATTAATTTTGATTTAATCAATAAAATGCATTTTCTTCATTCACATTTTTTCAACACCCTGTACAAACAATTCTATGCTACATATGGATATATTATTAAACCACAATAACCACTATAATTTTCAAGCGACGTTTACTCGAGAATATTTTGAGGGCGGATGAGTAAATGATTTTTGAGTAGCAAGTTCGATAACTTTAAACTATGTGCAAAATTTCAGAGTAATTTGTGTCGTAGTTTCCAAATCTAATTTTTAAATTTTGTTATACAATGATAATTTTTACATACGCATGCATGATCCACCGCAATTTTTATTTTAACTTCCATGAATTATCACAACAAAAAATAAAATTCGCAGAATCTAATTTTATAATTTAACTAAAAAATTTGATCTCTTTCAATGCTTCAACGGTGAAGAAAGTTCCGTCTTAACAACTTTAAAGTTAGACTAATTTTGTGACATGTTTGACTTTGAAGTTCAGTTTTGTGATACACTCTTGCCCTTTTTCATATAAAAAGTGTTAAATAGATCATTATTTAACATATCCTTGTAGTTGATGTATCGTAAAAAATTTTCATTAAAAAAAAAAAACTATGATGCCATAACCATAACACCATATTTCAACGAGGTTATATGTTAAATATAAATACAACAGCATTTTCAATCTCGAAATTATTATTAAAATTGGTAAATATTAAAATTTTAAAAATCTTGTGGAGCGAGCGAGAAGTTGTATAAATGTGTAAACGCGTTATGTAAATTAACATTTTTCAAACATTTAATAATAAAATTCTTTTCTAATTTGGCATTTCCATTCATCGTCAAAACGCTTACTTTTAACAATGGCCATATCAACAAGTTTATTACTCATTCACCATTCACTGAAAGCACACAAAACAAATGAATTGAATGACATCTAGCACGGCGTCAGTAAACTAAATTAAATTAGTTGGTCACTTAATTAAGAATACACCACATAAACCAAACCGAGTGACATTTAAATCACGTGTTACTAGCGTCCTAAAACACTGATTTAATTTTTCGTTATAAGTATTTATAAATACGTAACATTTAAATAAGAAAACAATTACTAAAACGATTGGAAAATTGTTTGCGTTTGGATTAGTGTGAGATCCCTGGAAAAACCCTCCACTCTGGCATTCAACAAATGACAAGGGTTCATTTTTTGTGCGAAATAAATTAACAAAACGTTCAATCTACAATTCGTACATCGCAAAATGTGACGCAAGACTTTATAACTCATTCATGCCCCACGTAAATGTTGGATCGCTGGATTGACGTAATTTTTTTGTTTCGGTTTAAACCCCGCGTTTTTCACTGTGCTTAATTAGTTATAAATCCCCTTTGACGTTTCAGTAGATACCATATCGTACAAACGTAGGTCTGCTGATAAATAATTATTATGACCTCTCGTGTGTTCAATAGTAATGAAATGACAAATGTTAACTATATTGGTGGAAATGTCGTAAATGTGCGGATTATTTCTTGGTGAATTAATTCCAATTACGTAAGAATATTATCACAATTACAGTATATAATACACACGCTCGTCATGAAGTAGGTGGACAATTTATAAGAGTTATTAAATTACTACTCTTTCAATATAGACGTATTAGATTATCAGGAAATGAAGTTTTATTACTATAACAAAAAATGATTTCATTTAATTTATGATTGTTCACAAGCTTCACACTGGCGTATTATTATTACTTTATACAAATTTTAATACTTTAACTTATTTCATGATATTCAGAATGTTTTTTTTTTAATATTACAGCGTTTGTTACATTCTGCGAAAAAAAAACCAAACATATAATGACAACGGTCATTTCTTGGATCAAAAAAATCGGTCATTCCCGAAATTTTCGATTTGCAATTTTTCGTTCGGTTTTTTATTTTCTTTATTTTTATAATTTTGCGATTTTTGCAATTTCAATTTCTTAAGTTTTTCGTTTTTTCAATTTTACAATATGTAACTCTTCGAATTTTCATTTTAAAATTTTTCAGTTATTCAATTTTCCAATTTTTGGATGTTTCAATTTTTAGATCTTGCAATTTTTCGATTTTTCAATTTGTCGTTACTTTAATTTTTCAATCTGCATTTTTTCGTTACGGTTTTATTTTCTTTATTTTTTCAACTTTTCGGTTTTCCAATATTCCAGTTGTATTATTTTTCTTTTTTCAATGTGAAATTTTTCAATTTTTTGGTTTTTCAAATTTTAGATTTTTTAATTTTTCGTTTTTTCAATAGTCGATTTTTCAGTTTCTCGATTTTTTTTCAATTTTCGATTCGCAATTTTTGTAATTTTTATTTTAAATACGTAATAATGATAAAATTTTACACTTTTTCAATTTTTCAATTTTTAATTTTTGAATTTCTCGATATTTAATCGATCTTTCAATGTTACAGTTTTTCGACTTTACAATTTTGACGATTCCATAATTTTTCGATTTTACAATTTTTGGGTTTTCTAATTTTTCGATTCAATTCATTTTTTTCTCCTTTCTAATTTTTCGATTCATTAATTTTTTTGTTTGAATTTCAAGTTTTTAGATTTTTAGTTTTTCAATGTTTCAATTTTTCGCTTCTTTCCACTTTTTCAATGTTGCAATTTCTCGCTTTTTTAGTTTTTCGATTTTTCACTTTTTCGAATCATAAAAATTGAAATTGCAAAATTGTAAAATTGAAAATCAAGAACTTGAAAAATTGAAGAAATCAAAAATTGAAAACGATTAAAAATTGCGAAATTTAAAAAAACCTGAAAGTGCAAAATCGAAAAAACGAAATATGTATTGTAAAATCGAAATGTTGAAAATTAAAGAAATCGGAAAATCGGGGAATTACAAAATCAAAGATTAAACTTGCAAAACTGAATAAGCGAAAAATTATAAAATCGAAACATTGAAAAAAAAAAATGAAAGGACAAAACGAAAAATTGTGATATAAGATCGAGAAAATGAAAATTAAAAAATCGAAAAATGCAAAATAAAAATCATGAACTTGAAAAATTGAGAAAACAAAAAATTATGAAACCGAAATACTGAAAAATGGAAAAATTAAAAAAAAAACAATGAATTGTGATTTCAAAAAATTAAAAGTTGTTAAGTTAAAATAAAGATAATATCTATGTAATATTAAAGTAAATGTAAAGAAGCATGCTACATGTTTGTTTCAAGTGAGTTTTTTCATTACAAAATTTTGTCCTGACATCAACATTTTTGCAAAAACACTTTTTTGGATAGATGCAGTGTAATACTAATAATAACAGTATTATATTCCCAAATTTTCGAGAAAAAATTGATTTTAATCAATACAATAAACTGCCTCATTTATTTATTTTTTGGGGCATCCTGTATAAGTAATCTATGAGTGCATTCATAAACCATAGTTATAGTATAGAATAATAGATTTAGCCTGATTACGATCACCTTAAAACGTCTGCAAGATTTCAGGGCATTTGTTGTTATGCAATTTAATTTTTATTTATTTTTTTTTTTCCTAAAAATATGGATATCTATGGTAAAAACTAATCGCAGATTCATAAACCACATGTATAGGATTGTCTTATTTTATAAAATTGAAATAACATGTACTAATGTAAATTTTGGAGTTGATCTCATGAGAATGTTTAGCCAAATTTTGGTTAGCAGTTTATCATCGACAAAATTTTCCTAACACACATATACAATTTTACAACAATCGGTCTAGTAGTTTCGGATACGGATTCGAAGGTCAGACAGGCAGACATGAAAACGGGAGACTTATTTTTCGTATTCAAAGGATCATGAAACGTCGAGAAAACATAAAAGTAGCCAGTCGTCCAATGGACTCGATTACAATCCTTGCTTAGCTTACACTCAGGAAGTAAAATGGAATCAAGAAATGTCAAAATTCGTTTTTGTTAGAAATATTATTTTTGCGTTTTTAACGGGATTATTTTAACGAAATATGATGAATCTAACACAATTGCGTGCACAAAAATTATATTCAATATAGGCGAAAATTTTAGTTTGATAACAGGCATGAAAGTTATAACATAATCTACAATCTTAATTTAAATCAAAGTTTTTTTTTTAATCTAAATTAATATATTTCCATGGTGGATTAGGAAACAATAGCACAACTTCAATTTTAATGCAGTTTTTAAAAATGTTCGATCTATTTTTAGTTTTCTAGAATCTTTCATAATTTATCTCGTGATTTTTGGCTTGCAGTTTTTTAAACATTACCAACAATACAACAACATTTTTACAACTATTATATTATTTTCTATTACAAAAAATAGTGTTGACCATATGGCGCAATCATATATGCATTTTTCTGGCGTATTTAAATTTTGATGTGATTTAAACAGCAAAGAAATAATACGATTTTTACATTAATAAAATAATAACAACAGTATAAAGAAATTTATGTTTTGTTCTTAACCAAAGAACATGGTACTCACCTCTCGAAGTTCCGCACTTTCATCACATTTATTCCCAACCAACATGATGGGAATCTGACTCAAATCTGGTCCTTTCAATTCGCGTATTACCTCCCAAATGGGACGTAATTCCTCCAAGCTCTGTCGACTGCAAACTGAATAAACCAGAATAAAAGCATGCCCTTTACTTATAGACAATCTCTGCATAGCAGGAAACTGATGTGAGCCAGTCGTGTCAGTAATCTGAAGAGTACATATATTCTTGTTGCAACTTATTACCTAAAAACCAACCAACATTATTACAAGAACTCCAACCTCCACTCTAAACCAAAGGCAAACAACAACTTACCAAAAAAATAACAAGCGCTTAAATTATTACATCAAGTAACAAAACCAAGCAACAAAACTGAAATAAAAAATAAAATGAAACTATAAAAATGAGAGCCAGACTGTTTCAAACTGTGGCTTGACTTACTTGTCGATAGGTGTCTTCGATGGTCGGAATGTAGCTCTCCCTGAAGGTGCCTTTAACAAACCTCAGAACGAGAGAGCTTTTGCCCACACCTCCAGCTCCAAAGACCACTACACGATAATCATTGCTTTGTTCGGGCATTTTTGGAAAACTGGCTTGATTGCTTGAAAGAAAGAGGTTATATGGTTAACTGTCTGCGGCTGATTCTAGGGTTTAGTTGCTCCATTTCGTTGATTCAGTAACGCGAACCACTTCTGGCCGATGGTTTTTGCAAAATGAACTTGTGTTTTCGTTATTTTTGTAATAAATTTGACTAAAATTATGACGTCATTCTTAAACTAAAAATTTGTATTGATTGGCCACATCTAGCCACCTTGTGTCAACGCTGTCAAACACGAAAATTACAGGTTGCTGTAACATTTTCAAGAATAAGTTTAAAAACAAAATTAATAAAATAATTAAATATATTATCCACTGTTCAGAAAAATATAAACCATTTACACTTATGTTACATTAGCAAGCTAACAAAGTTTGTTTTGACTTATAAATACATTGTACATGGCTGAATAATTAATACCTTAACAAAATAAAAATAATACATGTCACAAATCACGACGAGAGCACATTTTGAAACAACTGTTAAAAATTTAAAATTTACGAAGTCGCCATTTCAACGGTCTCGGAACTTAATTCACCATTTTTAGCACCTTCATTCTTAATTGCAGTCTGTTTTCCCTTATCTATTTGTTTTTCCTTATTAATTACCTCTTTTTCGTCACGACTTGAAGAATTATTATTTGAAACCTCTTCAACTAAAGCTCTATGGTTTGTAGACAACCCTACCTCTCTTCCACGAATCCTTCTATTTCTAGTGCGACCTTGCGTAAATGCTATCCCTCTTCGAATATTTTCGGAATTTCCTATAGCTTGATTTGTTGCAGAATCCCCCATTTCAATTGTAAACAAATGAAATAAGCTGACTTTAAAATGTGGCTTAGTAATAAAAAGAAAGATAATAAATACTATCCCAACTGTGGTTACCAACATCACAGGAAATAACACCACGTTTAAACCCCATGGCAATGTTGCTGAAACAAAGAATATCAATACAGGAAACACAATCAGTAAGAACTTACTGAACATGCTACGTCCAAACCTCCCAAAGGCTTCTCCAATATCACCGAAAGGCTCCAACACAAGAGTTCGAAATTGTCGTGTTAAAACCTTAGACGGCGCAATTAGATACATGTAATTGTTGTATGTGGCTTGGTAATACGCTTTGCATGGATTTTCCACAAAAGTGGATGCTGAAATTATGATTATTCAAATTTGGCGCCTCTATTTGAGGAATTTAGTAGAGAGGGAAAAGTATACAAACATATTTCCGTCCTTTATTTTCATAATTTTGTTTTTTTTTTTAAATAGGAATATTTTACGTCATCATGGTGGTACCGCACGCCTATTTAATTGTATACACAAGATACCACACCGAGAACGCAAAAGTTACTACTCTTGTTTTGGTTTAAATTCCCCATGCTTTGAAAAAGCAATTCACGTTATCTAGTGACCATATGTTATTAATGCGCAAGCGCTGCTAACCTCAATGACAGCCATAGAAAACCCTACAATAGAAGCTAATGTGGTATAGGCTGCGCTTGTACCTTTCATTACGTATTTTCTTACCCACTCACCAGGGGTCGCATGAAAAGAAACCTGTAAACGCTGCTTCGCGCGGATTTTCAAAATTTTAGAATTCACATCCCTGCACACGACACTACTTTCCCCTAACACCCCCACACCACCAAAGAAACACAACAGTTTTATTTTTATCGTGTTGCTAAGTGCATTTTGTAGCTGTTGTGTTGTGTAGTGTACAAAAAAATGTAAGTATACAAATGTTTTCACTTTATGTTCATTGTTTATAGCATTATTATAACAAATGTTTGTAGAAAAAAGAATGGAAGCACAAAAAACGCACAAAACTTGTGCAATTTATAAATGTGGGAACAGGATGGCCCCTATATTTAGGTTTCCACATCCGAAACGGGGTCTAGATAGGTTTATGGCATGGGTTAAAGCCTCCAATAACCCAAAATTCGAGGGTTTAACAAATGACCAAATTTATCGGAGAGGGTACATTTGCTACCAACATTTTCGGGCTGAAGACTATGTCCAAGGTACACAAAGGCTGCATCAATCTGCGGTACCAACGATTTTGCCTCCTCGAGGTAAAAACAAATTGAAAGTCACTACGAAACAAATATTAAGACATGTGTACTTACAGATGATACTCTACTTACATCACCACTGGAGGCAAGTAAAATTGATGCGTCCACTGTAGTGCCCCAGACAACTGATCTCATCTTCCTGACCCCAAGGAAGGAATGCCCTGATTTCTACTCCATGGCGAATTTATCGCCACGTATTCGACGAACCCCACATTCTCAAAGTATGTAAATATTACAAGTGTTTTACTATAACATGAACGGTTTTCCATTTTATAGGTTCAACTACTACACCGGAGCGTAGAAATATACGGAATAGTGGCATTCAAGCCCGACAACTGAATTTTGGAGGTATTATAATGCTAAAAAATAAATGGCAAAAAAAATAATATTATGACTTACAGAGGAGAATGGGGTCAATGAGCTACCTTGCGCTGGACCTTCAGGGCTACAAAGTAATTCAAAAATCGGTAAGAAACTGCAAAGTTTGATACCATAATTTCGTAATTCCAAAAACAAATTTTCAAACGATTACAACATATAAAAATGTGGTAGATTGTTAAACTTTATCACGTGTTTATAAAACAATCTGTGGTACAGCATAGCGTCATCTCGCGTTTCTACCAACCATATGTCACGCATATGTCATGTGTCAAATAGGTGAAAAAGCAGTGGCGTAACTTAAGGTATATTGATATACGTTAGGAGTATTTTTTTTCACCGTGTGATTTTAAATATGTATTTTTGTGAATTTAAAAATAGTGAAAATAAAATATTATTAGTCTCAATAACAAATATTTATTACTTATTTTTAGATTTTGTTGGAAGCAGAAGTACACCACTTAGACAGACCCGGGATGTTTCTCTGAGAACTACAACGACTCCACGTATGTATTTTAATTTAATGAAAACTCTTATGTTCGTTTACTAATAATTTTTGATTGTCTATCTAATTTTGAGCTAATAACGATAAGCATAATTTGTTTAAAGATATTAAAGAAACTTATAACTGCATGTAACATAATTTTCATTGAACAGAACTGTACATAAAGTAAAAATGATGCAATTAATTAATACCTGTGTACATTTGCAGGTAAAATTTTGGAGCGCATAGGCGTAAAACAGCGGACAACGACCAATTTTACGTCTAACGAAGTAAAACTCTACAGAGAAGCAAAACGCCTGCAAAAACAAGTAGGCCGCTTGCAAAAGCAGGCTGAAAAGCGGAGACATGACCTACAGTCCGCAAGGAAATTTGTTCGGGATCAACGATTGGTTGATCTCGTAGAAGGGTTGACTCCTGTTCAGCAGCGGTTTTTCGAAAATCAGATTAGGAACGTAAATCGTAAACCAAAAGGCAGGAGTTTTACGTTTGAGGAAAAGGCAGACGCCATTGCCATATGGAAACATGGCCCGAAGACGTACAAACTTCTGTCTAAAATGTTTACGTTGCCGTCTATTGACACTCTGAGGGCAACCCTAAATAGAGTTCCAATAGAACCGGGTATCAACAAACCCATATTCGAAGTTCTCGGAAAGCAAGTACGTCGCAAAATGGACCCCAAGTACAATCTGTGTACTCTCATCTTCGATGAGATGTCCATACAGCCTCACCTTGACTACTTGCCTTGTGAGGACAGAGTTGTGGGTTTTGAAGATGACGGTACAACAAGGACGGAAAAAATTGCAGACCATGTTTGCGTCTTTATGCTTAGAGGAATTTTTGGAAGGTGGAAGCAACCTGTTGCTTTTGCTTTTTGTAAAAGTTCTTTAGCTGCCGTAAACATTGTCCGTTTTTATAAAGAGATTGTGAAAGAAGCAACAGCGATAGGCTTAAACATCATTGCTTCGGTTTGTGATCAAAGCACTACAAACAGTGCTGCAATCGATATACTTTTGCAGGAAACCAGGCGACGTGCTATTTTAGAAAATGAAGAGGAAACTGAAGAGAATGTGATAAAAATTGGTGATCACAAAGTTGTCCCTCTCTTTGATCCTCCTCATCTTCTAAAAAGTATGCGGAACAATCTTCTCACCAAAGATCTGCTTTATGTAGATAAAGCAGGTGTGGAGAGAAGAGCTTCTTGGAGTTTTTTTGAAAAGGCATATGGATTAGATCAGACGCTGGGTGACAACCTAAGAATGATGCCAAAGATCACCATAGACCATGTGAAGCCTAACTTAAGAGGCAAAAAAATGAAAGTTCGTTATGCTTCACAGGTCTTTAGCCGTAGTGTTTCTTCTTTCATAAATCTCTGTTCCAGCCGGACATTTGGGGGAATCCTGCCGCCTGATGCTCAATACACTTCCGATTTGTTTATGTTCATGGATTCTGTCTTTGACAGTGTTAATGGAGGATTTGGAGACTGCGGTGGTAAGAACTTACGTAAATTGGTAGGAGTTAAAAATTACCATCACACTTGTTGGCTAGAAGGGAAACGCATGTTCAGCAACATGAGATTTGTACCACGTAAAGCTGGAGACCGAGCAAAACCCCCAGTTTTACAGGGGTGGTATCGTACTTTAAATGGTTTTATGATTATCAAGGAAACTCTAACGAAACTTGGCTATAACTTTTTCCCAGCAAGAGCTTTTAACCAAGATCCGTTGGAAAATTTTTTTGGTCAAATAAGACAATATGGAGGACGATATACAAATCCTACTTGTCGAGCATTCGTGCCATTTTATAAGTCATTGATGATGAAGAATTTTTGCTCCTATCATTCTCGTGGCTCTAATTGTGAACAAGATGAGGACTCATTTGTGATCACAATTCGGGAGTTTCTTGGTCTTCAAATAAATCGGAAATGTGTCGAAGATCAGTGGAAACCACCACCAGTTCCTGATACTGTAACGAAGGATAAACTTTATGACCAGAATGTTATAGGCTACATAAGCGGATTTCTAGTCAAACATATGTCAAAAGAACCACTTGGCTGTGAAATCTGTCGATCTAACTTAAAGCACGATGGGGATCCAGATATACAGTATCATGGCTTGGTGGAAAAGAAAGAGTACGATGATAAAAACAGACGGTTACAATATACGAATGTGGGGGTGATTAAAACTCTGATTGAGACTCATAATCACCTGCGCATTCTTTTACCGTCTGCAATTTATCATTCTTCTCTTTCTAGAAGGATTATAAGCCACCTGCGAACTACAATTGATTTTGATTTTCAGGAATGCTTGCATACCGAAGAACTAAAAACTAAACTTTTCCATTTATTTGTAAGAGTGTTTATCTTTGGATACATGAAAAAACTGAGTAATATAGTATTTGGTAGGCAAGAACCGAACAGATCAATTTCGTTGGAGACAGAAATGCAAAAATTATATTTACGTTTTAAAAGAAAATAGAACATTTGTATAATTTTGCATTTTGCAGGTTATTAATCAGCTTTGTTTTGTGCATACCAGAAGAAAATGATGGCTATATGAGGTTAAATATTCGAACATTACCACCGAGATATATTGTACTGTGATACCTAAGGAGGTCGAAATTGCAATCTCCAGATTTTCATTGAGTTGTCTAAATCTTTAACCTATTGTTATGTTATCAAAGTGATTGTATTGTCACATTTCTTAAGGTATGAACAAAAAGTGCAAAGGCAGTTTGCGTTTCTACTGATGGGAGATTAAAAATTAATTTAGTTTTAAAAAGTCTCAGACTTTATTTTGTTATTTTAATGTAGTGGCTATTTTGTTAAGAATATTCTGCTTGCAACAAATACATGTTTTTTACTTGCATTTTAAAAATCTACACACTTTTATTAAGTTGTATATAGGTAATAATTAGGTGTGTATATAGGTATGTACTATTTGTTCTATTATTTTAAATAAAAGTACAAATGTAAGTTATCAGGGCAAGCCAGTTTCATTATCTCGTTTATCATGCGATTTCTGTTCAAAATATTTTCTTATGCTGTTTTATTTTGCACTGTTTTCTTTGACTTTTTGGTACTTTTAGAATTTTGTCATATTATGGTATTTTTATTGTTATTTGTAGTAGTATTTTCATTAATTATTCAATGTTACGGTTAAATATATTGTTTGGAAAATATTCCACATTTTTTATTGTACTGTTTGTGTCTGTGTCTTTTTATATGTTGGTTTCAAAGCCTATTTTGGCATTTTGAAACTAACATATAAAAATGCACAAACAATGTTTTCCCTTTAAATATAAAAAAAAATCTATTAGCAAAATTCCCTTTCAAATTTGGCGCCGATTTTAGTTCCGTACCACACCAGTAGAGGCGTTCATTAGGAACAACATACAAGCATTGGAGATCGTATTCTATAGTGAGGGTATTCTATGATGACAGCCCACGAATGATTACAAATGTCAAACAAAACAAACGTGTAGTGTAAATACAGTTATAAAATTATAATTTATTTTGTTAATAATGGACGATAAAAAGAGCAGCCGCCTCCAATCACTAAAATTGCCTCGAGATTTGAGTCTCGGTTTGGGCAAATCGAAAAGTAAATACACACCTAACCTCAATGTGGTCAGAAACAAAGATAAACCGAAGGAAATTCTCAAGAAAAACGATCAAAAACGCCGAGAGAAGACGTTACATAAGGGCAAAAATGACAAACAAAATCACGAACCGAAGTATATTCAATCGACTAGTGTGTTTTCACAAGGTACGGGTGAAATTAAGAGGCTCAATTCTCACACGGAACACAGGGTTAGTTTGCGAGACAGCAGCAACAATTCGGTTTCTAACATGGTGTTACCTACGATAAATCGAAACGCGTGGAATATAAATCAAAAAGCTGAAGAAGCTGTTTTGCATGAGTTGGCGAATTGTGATATGGATAGTGATGATGAAAAAATGTCTTTTGCACCACTTACACTGGGTACTGATGTGATTAAAAAAGTGAAGAAGGAAATAATTGTGAAGAAGGAGGAAGATAATATTGGTCCAGTTCTACCAGAACCGTTTAATAGTGATATGTATAGTGAAGAAAATCCTGCTTTAGCTTTAGTTAAATTGCCTGATTCTTTTGCTGGGAAAGGACTCAGTGATGACCCTAATGTTAAGAAACTCTTTGATTATCCATTAAGTGGTATGTTAGAGGGGCAAATTGGAAAATTAGTAATCAGAAGATCTGGAAAAATGGAAGTTCATATAGGTCGGATCAAATATGAGTTAAGTCCTGAGAATACATATGAGTCAAAAGAAGAATTAGCAACAATTACTCAAGGCCAAAATGGGGAGAATTTTATAGCTATATTAGGTCCAATTTTAAATAATTTCATTATGTTTCCTGATTATGAGTCACTTTTGAAGAAAAAATAATTCTGTATTAAATTTGTTAAATGATATATACAACTGTTTTTGTTAATAAAGTATTACTTACCAACTTGTGTTTTTAGGAAATTCCACCAAGACATTTTTGTTGTGTCACATTCAGGCGGCGCTGTCCCTAATTTTTTAATATTCACCATATTGTCGATCTCTTCATCCTTAAATAAACAAATAACCAATTTGTTAAAAAAATTATAAGTAACTTACCCGCACAATCGCCAAGTATGTTACAAAACAGTCAACAATATATGCCAAAAATAAAAAGTACTTGACAATAGACTTCCAGGTAAATTGCGCTTTTAACAACTTATAAGTCAGATATAAAGCAAGAAAAGATCCAATTAAAGCCGTAGAAGTTGGATTAAAAAGTATTTCATATATCCTTTCCTGCATTGATAAAATTAGCTCTTGGTATCTCTCAGCTGCGGGTTTGTGAAGCGCATTTTCAAAAATGGAACTGACTTCACTGAAAATATTGTCCTCAGTTTTAGTACTTTGAGAAAAATTTACCAAAAACTGGTGCTCGACAGTCGTTAGTTTAATATTTATGTAACCTTCGTGGTACCCAATGTCGTTATCTAAATAAGCGCTATTTAAAATTATACGAACTAGTCGTTTTAGGTGTACATCTGAGACACATTCTTTGACAGCTGTGGGGTTGTGCATGGGTTCATCAGAGGTCTTCTGTGAATGATTTGGCAGTCTGTTTTTGTGATTCGTGTCCATGCTATGGGGGTCTATCCATTGGGTTCTCGTGAGTTGCAGCAGCAGAATAAATATCAGTGTTGTTTTCATCTGGAGAATAAGTAAATAAACAACAAAATTAAACTGTAAATACGTTTATCACAACAATGCGCCTACCTTAAAAGGTAGCGAAAATGATTTAATGAAGTTTTTGGTTTAAAATTCGATAAAGTGACGTAATGGTTGACACCTGTGAAAACCCTATCTTCAGACTATAGCAAAGCAGTCTTCCGACGAATTTAACTGTTGCAGTTGTGAATTACGTGCTTTTTAGAATGGTTTTGTTTGATAATATTTTTCAAGTGTTGTTAAATTTTCGTGAAAAGGTCGTTAAGTTTATATTTTTAGGGACATTTATCAGTCGCGTTGCGTTGGCTAGCCTGTCCGTTGACGTTCCAACGGCCCGAAATCAGCTGTTCCCGAGGTCACTTTAGTCAGTTTGACATTTTATTTATGTTTTTATTTGTACTCCAAAATGGCAGACCTTAAATCTCTGGAGCATCCCACGTTAAAGGTAAATCATTCTCGTCATACTGCGCTTAGAATTAACCGTTCTTTCAATATTCGCCCCATCAATACTGCAAAACTGACGTCGCTGTGCAACCATTTGGTGACACATTTTTGAATGAGAACAATATTTTTTTTGCTTTTTGGCCTAAATACGAGTCCATCCCACTGTTCTATTTCGTCACGATAACAGCGACGACATTTTAGATTTATCGCGGCGAGGTTCTAGGGCGTCAGTTTTCAAGTGTCAAATTCTGCTTCCGTCAATTAGCGTATTGAATATCCATAGGTGCCATACGAAATTCTCAATAAAAAATTTCGGACCGCGCAAAAAACCTTAGACCGTGAAGCCTCGCACGTCCAGCAAGCTGCCCGTGAGATAGAAGAGACCATTTCTTCAGGTAATGTGAAAGCGAAAGACATTACTTCACTGCTTGGAGGAATGGTCGAGAAACTTCAAGTACTTAAACGCAAAGCCGAGGAGAGCATCTCCGAAGAACTGGCCGCTTCGAACGTCTGCAAGCGGCGTTTGGAGCACCTGAAGGAGCGGGATACGCTGACCTCGACAGGGACCATTTCTCATGGGGCTGCCAACCAGTGGAAGCGAAAACGGTTAGATAGGATGATGGTCGAGTATTTTCTTAGGAATGGATATTATAACGCGGCGATAACTCTCGCTGAAAGGAGCGACATTAAGGATTTGACCAATATAGATATTTTTTTGACTTCGAGGGAGGTCGAGAAGTCACTTGCTAATCATGAGACTCAGAAATGTTTGCTGTGGTGCCATGACAATAAGTCCAAATTGAGGAAGCTTAAATCAAATATGGAATTTAATTTGCGGATTCAGGAATTCGTTGAATTGATTAGGACTGACAATAGGATGGGGGCTATCAAGCATGCAAGGAAACATTTTTCTAGTTTTGAGGAGGAGCATTTGACCACTATACAGCAAGTTATGGCTTTGCTGGCTTTTCCAGTGAATACAGGTGGGTCGATTTTTTTTTTTTTTTTTGGAAGAGTTACAATTAGACCATCATGTATGCATGGCCTGTTCAGGAAATTATTTTGTTATGTAGTTATTAAAAAAAAGTTCATAATGAGTGAATCCAGTCAGATAGAAAGGTTTAATGGTTGCATGTTGCTGTTGGGTTCTATTAAGTGCAAGGTTAAGGCAATAATAAAAGAATAATTGTTGACTTCAAAGGAAAAAATGTTTTGGTAAAATTCTAAACTATTAATGTGTTATTATTATTATTTCCAAAAGTGAATAACAGTATCTACCCAGTGGAATTTTCCTATGCTCCACTTTTGTTGTAGATATTATATCAAGTTTGCTATTAAAAAAATATTAGTATGATTTTTAAATTGGTGAAAGTAACACGTAATTTTGATTAGATCTTTGTTGAGAAAAATACTTGTTATTAATGGTTTTAAAATGCCTCCAGAAATAGATATTTAAAACACTCTTAGACACATTTTCATAAATTTCTGATTTTTCGTATAATTTAATTGAATTACAGGTGCATTTTTCAGTAGTTACAAGAAAACCAAAAATTACAATTTACATAGAGCAGAACGTATGAAATAACCAATATTTTCGGAAAACAAAAAAAATGCTTCACTTTTATTTATTTGTTTTCCATGTGAGATAGTGAAATTTATAAACAAAAGAATGTCCTTGAAAAGCTTGCATGACCGCTTCCCGTAACACTTTCTCATATTCACTAACCTTGAAATTATTCTGAAATTAAGGCACACTTTTCGAGGTTAATTATATATTATTATATTACATCAATATTATATAACAAATTTTAATTCACTTATAAGTTGTGGAATTAACGTTGATGCTATTTTTTGCTATATTGTATCCATAACGTTTTTAGTATTTTATGAATAATTACATTAAATTACTAATCATTAAAATAATGTTTTAATACGCAAGTAAGTACATTTAAAATGTTCCTGTAATATAAGCAATAATGCAAAAATACAAATAGGGTTGTTCCATATGAAAACACCAAATTTTAATTAATGATTTTAATGAAAAAAATTGATGACCTTTTAGATAATAAATATGAAAAACCGTCGTCATTTTTTTTTTTTTTTTTTGATACTTCGGCATCATTAGAATTCTGAAGTTGTGTCATTTTCAAACTGTCCTGCTACGAGTATAGGCTGTAACTTTTTGTCTATACGTATTGAAATAATTATAATTTTAATGGAAGTACTGCATAAGATGAGTGCTTTCAATAATAAAAAAAATTGGTCGAAAGTTGTTTCGACAGAACCTCCCTCGCTTCTGAAGTACAATAAAGCAAACCCAGCATTTTCGAGTCGAGTTTTTTCTTTACAAAATTTTGTGATGACGTCATCAACATTTTTGCAAGGACACGTACAGGGTCATCAAAATTGATTGAGAGAGTTGGTACCCCCTGTTTTTGTCGTGAAGTTTGTCAACCTTATGACAGATTTGTTTAAGGTTATATGGCAATGAATTCAGTGGCGTGACAAAAATTAGAAACTTCAAATCTGACAACTAATGTTTTTACCAAAAAAAAAGTCGAAAAAAGACGCCACTGAGTTTTGAAATTTGAAACTTGAAACTTCAAATCTGACAGCTAATATTTTTATACAACTTAATAAACCAAATTATTCAAGTTCAGGTTTACCAACTCTCTCAATCAATTTTGATGACTCTGTATATCTACTTGAATTAGTGCAGTGTAATACTAAAAAGAACAGTGTTGTATGCCCAAAATTTTCCGGGAAAACGGAGTCAATAAAATAAATTGACTCATTCATTAATTTTTTTGAGTCACCCCGTATGTATAAGTAAATCTAAAAAATATGAATGCAATGATAAATTACAAGTACAGACCACATTTTCCAGAAAATGGGGTGGCTTGTTTTTAATTTGATCAATATTAAATTGACTGATTCATTAATTTTTTTGAGTCACCCTGAATAAGCAAATCTAAAAAATATGAATACAATAATTAGTTACAACTATAGTCTGATCATAGTTTGCACATTTTCGAAGGGATTTATTCGGCAAAATTTTGAGATGACGTAATCAGTTTTTTGGGGCTGATAAACATACATTTGATTGATTAAAAAGTCACCATGCTTACAATAACTTCAAAACGTCTGCTAGATTTCAAAGTATTCAGTTTTGCAATTCTTGGTTTAATCAATAAAATAAATTGACTCGGTCATTCAGACACCCCGTATAAGCAAATCTAAAAAATATTAATGCAGTGATAAATGACAAGCGTTGACTCATCATACTTTGCACATTTAAGATAGGATTTATTCAGCAAAATTTGGAGGTGACGTCATAAGTTTTTTTAGGGGGGATAAGCAAATACATTTTGGTCAAAAATTTACCATGCTTATGATAACTTTGAAGTATCTCCAAGATTTCAAAGCATTCGGTTTTGCAGTTCCTGATTAAATCAATAAAATAAATTCACGCATTCATTAATTTTTTTGAGTCACCCTGTATATGCAAATCCAAAACATATGAATGGAATGATAAATCAGAAGTACAGACTCATCATATTTTCTACATTTTAGATAGCATTTTTTCACCAAAATGTTGGTGTGACGTCATCAATTTTTTAGGGGGGATGAGCAAATACAATTTTTGATCAAAAATTTACCATGCCTATGATAACTTTAAAACATCTCCAAGATTTCAAAGCATTTGGTTTTGTATTTCCTGATTAAATCAATAAAATAAATTTACGCATTCATTAATTTTTTTTGAGTCGCCTTGTATATGCAAATCCGAAAAATATGAATGGAATGATAAGTGACAAGTACAGACTCGTCATATTTTGCACATTTTAGGTAGGAGTTACTCAGCAAAATTTTGCGGTGACATCATCAATTTTTTAGGAGGGATGAGCAAATACATTTTGAAAAAAAAATTACCATGCTTATGATAACTTTAAAACATCTCCGAGATTTTAAAACATTGGGTTTTGCAGTTCCTGATTAAATCAATAAAAAAATTCACGCATTAATTAATTTTTTTGAGCCACCTGTATATGCAAATCCAAAAAATATGAATAGAATGATAAATTATAAGTACAGACTCATCATATTTTGTACATTTTAGAATTTATTCGGCAAAATTTTCAGCCAACGTCATCAATTTTTTGGAGGGGATAAGTAAATATATTTTGATTAAAAATTTATCATGCTTGTAAAGCATCTGCAAGATTTTAAAGCTTTCGGTTTTGGAGATTCAAAATTAAATTGAAAAATGTTTTATAATTTTTACTTTTTTCCCAAAAATCTGGAAGTTTCGGATAAAAACTCAATACGGAGTCGTATAGTAGCCTGCATAGATATTGTAGCCGTCCATAGAGTCGAAATTTGCGAATAAAAATAAAATAAAACCGGTTCAAACGGAGCCGACGGTGGCTTGCAAATCCTGACATCACTCTGGCACACGTTGCACAGAGACGTATTTAATATTAAATGTCATCTTTTCCGTTATGATATAATCTGTTTCATTTCTTAGCTCAATCTCGTCAATAAAAACGAAGCTCTGTTCACTGTAAACAAGTTGTGGTATGGTATATTCATCGTTGCGGAGGTAGGTGGAGCGAAAAACCTGGTCATCTTAGCAGCAAACGCGGGTATAGTAGCCTGCATAGATATTGTAGCCGTCCATAGAGTCGAGATTTGCGAATAAAAATAAAATAAAACCGGCTCAAACGGAGCCGACGACGGCTTGCAAGTTCTGTCACTACGGCACGCGTCATATCACACAGGGGTGTATTTAAGGCTGTTTGCACAAAATCTTAGGGTCACTGTAATCTTACTATTTTCTATCTACGAGAAACGATTTGTCACACAGCTACGAAACCGATGATCTAGAGAAAGATGGAAGTTTGAAAATTTATTTCAACAAGTGTAATAACCGTTTGGTGCAACACAATTGGTTCAAGCAAACTAAAATATGACAGGAAACAAACAGTCCACGTGGACTAGTTTATAGGCGTGTTTGCTGCTAAGATGACTAGGTTTTTCGCTCCACCTGCCTCCGTAACGATGAATATACCATACCACAACTTGTGTACAGTGAACAGAGCTTCGATTTTATTGATGAGATTCAGCTCAGAAATGAAACAGATTATATCATAACGGAAAAAATTACATTTAATATTAAATGCGTCTCTGTGCAACGTGTGCCAGAGTGACGTCAGACTCTGCAAGCCACCGTCGGCTCCGTTTGAACCGGTTTTATTTTATTTTTATTCGCAAATTTCGACTCTATGGACGGCTACAATATCTATGCAGGCTACTATATAAACTAGTCCACGTGGACTCTTTGTTTCCTGTCATATTTTAGTTTGCTTGAACCAATTGCGTTGCACCAAACGGTTATTACACTTGTTGAAATACATTTTCACACTTCCATCTTTCTCTAGATCGTGGGTTTCGTAGCTGTGTGACAAATCGTTTGTCGTAGATAGAAAATAGTAAGATTACAGTGACCCTAAGATTTTGTGCAATCGGTCTTAAATACGCCCCTGTGTGATACGACGCGTGCCGTAGTGACAGAACTTACAAGCCGTCGTCGGCTCCGTTTGAGCCGGTTTTATTTTATTTTTATTCGCAAATTTCGACTCTATGGACGGCTACAATATCTATGCAGGCTACTATAAACTACATGTGTAGGACTATGCTATTTCATACAATGAGCTGACGTCATCAATTTTTTAGAAGGGATCAGTAAATATATTTTGATTAAAAATTTATCATGCTTGTAAACCATCTGCAAGATTTCAAAGCTTTCGGTTGTGCAGGTTCAAAATTAAATTGAAAAATGTTGTTTTATAATTTTAATTTTTTTTTTCAAAAAATGTTGACGTTTAGGGTAAAAACTCAAAAACGGAGTCGTAAACTACACGTGGAAGACTATGTTATTTCATGCAATTTAAAACCCATTTACTATGTACAATTTTGAAGTGACGTCATCACATTATTGGTGGGGATCGTTGGACAAATTTTGGTTAGCGTTTTACCGTCTACATGATATTCCTAATATAAATACAAAATTTGACAAGAATCAGCCCAGTACTTTCTGAGATTTATTGTCTTCTTAATATAAATCCGGGAGGGCAGACAGACAGACGGAAACGGGAGACCTATTTTTTCGTACTGTAGGGATCATGAAAGGTCTAGAAAATGTAAAAGTAGAGAGTGGGCGGACGGACTCGATTATAATACTTCCTTTGCTTACGCTCAGGAAGTAATAGGTACCATACCTAAACAAACACCAAACTATTTTTGAGTTCATTTTCGGACTCCTTTCTTTTTTTTGAAAAATTACAACAATCTTGAGGTTCTAGGTATTCCTGTTTCGAAAGAATTTGTAGTGTTTTTTCTTATAATAATTTAATCAAATTTCTGAGAGTAGTTCATTTGCTAAAACCAGTCTTATCTTAGCAGGTACTAAGCCCCATCCGTCCACTCCCTCTTTTCTTAGAGGGTACCTCATTAGCCAAAATCAGTTTTATCTTAGCAGGTACTAGCGCCACCCACCCGCCCTCTCTTTTCTTAGAGGGTATCTCATTTGCCAAAATACTTAACTCTTAACTCAGCAGGTACTAGCCCCGCCCACTCACCCTCTTTTTTCTTAGAGAATATGTCATTTGACAAAATCAGTCTTAACAGCTGCTAGCCCCGCCCACCCGCCCTGTCTTTTCTTAGAAGGTATCCCATTTGCCAAAATCACTCTTATCTTAGCAGGCACTAACCCCACCCGCCCGCCCTCTCTTTTCTTAGCGGGTATGTCATTTGCCAAAGTCGATCTTATTTTAGCAGGTAGTAACTCCGCCCACCCGCCCTCTATTTTCTTGCAGGGATCTCATTGGCCAAAATCAGTCTTATCTTAGCAGGTACGACCGTAACTTCATTATAATTTGCCAATTTTGGTGATTTTCAGCTGTTTCCTGTGTCAACAGTATTGATCTGAGAGAGTTGATTTTTTCAGCCATGTTTCTTGGAGAAAAAAATGCTTGAAATTTCTTCTTTTTTCTTAGGCAGTAAATTAAAATTATAATAAGTTCAATATGTGTATAGAAAAAAGTTACAGCCCATGACAGGAGACTTCTAAGGGGTGTCAATCGGAAGTGAACCACCCAAAAAAAAATAAATGACGACGGTTTTTCATATTGGTTATCTAAAAGATCATCCTCAATTTTTTTCGTCTTTTCACATGGAACGATGCCACAGGGATATTTGACTGATCTTTTTTTTTTTCACATATATGAATGCAAATTTTTATTTATCGGTATCCCTAATTAGAATTAATTATTCATACATAATTACACATATTAGCCCCTGCCAGTTTAGCGGGAACTACAGTCAATATTGTTATCAGTAACCCACAGTCATGGACGGATTTATGACAAAGTTGGTTTATTTTATTTCAAATTTATGGCATCTTAAAAAACCTTCGACTTAAAAGTTCACTGCCTCATTACAAATACAGAAAATACATTTTCAAAGACTGGTAACATGATATGAAAAATAGGGGATAACTTTCTTTGAAAAAAGTTCCAAATAAAATGTTACAGTGTGTTATAATATTCATAACTATTTTTATATTTGACGATTAATCAAAAGTTCTACTTGACACTGGTGGTTTGGAAAAATAAATTTTATCAGTTATAAATATTACGACATATCACATAGTAACCGTGGGTCCGTAACCAGATGTTTGATTTAGATTAACACACTAGGGACTCATCTAAAATCATAAAATTGTTTGTACGTTTTTACTGATTTTATCTGTATGCTGTAGAGTGTCACTCAAGAGTGGCATTATCATAGACATTACATTAATGCACTTGTCTCATATTTATAACAAACTCTTAACTTTATCTTCTGTGATTGTTTCAATTTTGAACTAATCTCACTTAACCCACATTTCGCTAATTTTAGAAATAAGTCCATACAAGGCCCTCTTCGACGAAAGTAGGTGGGATACTCTCATTGAAGAATTCAGACAAGAAAACTATCGACTGTTCCAACTCGCCTCGCAATCTGTCTTTACTGTAGCTCTTCAAGCCGGACTTTCAGCACTGAAAACGCCATATCCTTTAACGCCACTAATTTACATTTATATTCTGTGTATTGTGTTTTTCGTTTAATTTTTCCTTAACTTTTCATACTCAGTGTTATTCTGAAAATAGTGAGAATCGCAATCCAGCGTGTCCTGTTTGCCAACCATGTTTGAACCAACTAGCTGAGCCTCTCCCATTTGCCCATTGCTCACAGTCTCGTCTGTATTGCCATATTAGCGGATTACCTTTAAATGAGAATAACTTACCCATGATGTTGCCTAATGGATACATTTATGGAGAACAGGTAAGTTGCGTTCGTTTGGCTTTGTCGGTTGCGCGCGCACCTACATCTAAAATAATTTCGGTGTGCGTAACCCACAAAGTTAAACAAGTGAATTTTAGGGTTTGCTGAATTCTAACCGGTTAATTATAGGCTCTAGAGCAGATGGCGAAGGAAAATAATGGTCAAATTATTTGTCCCAAAACAAAAGAAATATTTCCGTTTAAAAAGGTCGAAAAGGTTTATGTTATGTAAATGTGATATTTTTCGTTCAATTTAGGTTTTTAGTATTCATATTCATACCTCTGTAGTTTTTCTATTTGTTTATTGTTAAGTTCAGAAAACGTAGTGAAGTAACTGTACTCATATAGGGATATCTCTTTTTTTTTATTTATGTTACGCTCCTCGAAATAAAATTCTATTTAATTCATATATCCTTTATTATGACAGTTCCTATAAACCATTCCACTACACTAATACCTAGATTTTAAATACCGTTTCTGTAACAGTTTTACGGATACGAATGTCGCCAGAAATTCTAAGCCTTATGATTTGTAATTATCGTGCATTTTTTGACATTCCGTCACCAAATAGACTATTTGATTACCGTCGCACGTAGATTATCAGACTTTTGTACAAAATATTTATAAAAATATAATGAAACTGCTCAACAATTTGAAAGTTTCCTAACTATCCTAAGGTCAATATAAATAAAAATCGACCTAGCGTAATAGTAACAAAGAAATAACATTGGTCAGAAAGACCCTGTATATATTTTCTAGCTAAAGAGAGTTGAGGTGAAAGAGCGTTAACATGTTTGATATATCTTAACTAAACATTTCCAGAACAAGAAAAGTTAAATAGGGCCAACAATTTGTACTAACATTCGAGATTTAACTTTTCCCACTCACGAAATATACAATGGACGAGTTCTAACATTTTGTGAACCAAATCAGTGGTCTTAAAACAAACAATTGTGCAAAACATCAATACAAATCACACGGTTGTTTCTAGAGTAATTCAAACAAAACGATTTTTTGACACCACTGAATTTCGGCTTAAGTACATTTAATCCTAGATTGTTATTATGCATTTTGGCAGTTTTTTCTTGCTGCAGCAGTCAATTTGAATGAATTTTATTAGAATAAAGCTTGTTCCTTTACGTGTACATAGATGGCAGCACCTTAGTCTTCAAGTGTGGGCGCTGCAGTCGCAGTGTACACGAGGGGAATGGGGTAGATCACTTTTCAGAGTGTCTATCATGGACTTATCTACGTAACATGTTAATGTCACTCATTCAAATTTAAGGCGATAAAAATGTATGAATAAATATTTTATATAGGTATTATATAATCTTGCATTTGTATGATTATGATTGCATTCCATTAGATATGTAAAGGTCAAATGAAATAAACACCAAATGAAATTTATTAAAAAAAAAAGAAAAATCACACAACTAACTGATTGTACTAAAACTACAACTTCAACACTACGGTCAGTCTTGCCTTCCTTTAAAATGCAAAACAGTACATAAAAATCTAACAGTTCTAAAGAAAATGATGGTTTTCTCAGAAAACAACTGTCTTTTAAGTTAAAGGATAACACTCGAAAATCAAAAATGCTTTAATGCGTTAGTATATACAAAAATGAAGGTTTAAATTAACAACATTCTTCTTAATGGAAGAACTATGATTCGGGACTTCGCGAAGATTTCTATGGCATATGACAGAAACTCCTACCTAAATTTGTATAGATAATTCCGTTTCCGTATCATATACCAAACACTTTTGCTAGTACTTGACATGCGTGATTATCCAAGGCCATAAGAAGGTCGAAAGAATACCAGCAAATATACCGGTGATTAAAGCCGCAGCGGCAAACATTCCTGCCGTTGAGGCGTACCTATCCTCCACAGTTCTATACAAAAACAAACTCACTTTTAATCGTACTTAAGTTAAGAGTACTTACCGTGGCGTATATATCATAGCCAACGAACTAAAGTACCCGCTAGTCAATCCCATAGTGACTGCCACTATCCAGTACGCCCAATCGTTATTAATATAAACTGGTATATGCCTCTCCACTTCGTTCAACTGGTAGTTGCAAAAGAAGAAGAACGGAATGTAAAGAACTCTCAGAGTTACAAAAATCCAAAGATATTTGGGGCCAGGCTGAAAAAGCACTTTGCGGTTACGGAAAACACTAAAAAGGAGTAACTCACCCAACAGAACAAACTAGTTAAGTAACTACCAATCATGGCGAATAAATTAAAAGTTAAAAAGCAGGTCACGCCCGAGTAGTATTTATCGCTAATGAAAAAGTTCTCATCGCTACGTTTTACATCTGAAATGGGGAGATTAAAATTGGGGTTTTACTTAAGTCAAGGTCGAATTACTTGCTTGAATTGCTGGGAAAATCGAAAGGGTTACAAAAAATATGAAGAAAACGTTGTACAGTTGGGGGAGTGATTTCTTCAAAATGTATAGGTAAGGTATCCTTTGGGTCCTTCCTTGGTTTATTTGTTTCCTTTGTTCGGCGTTTTTCTTTTCACGTAACTCGTGATGTCGGTAGAATCGCTAGAAGTTGATATTAATTTAGCTTAACTAGATTCCAGGATTAATAAATTAACTTTTTTCGTGTTTTAGAATTTTTCCTACATTTAAAATGGGGTTTATTGTTTAAAGTAAATTCATGCAATTTATATTTTCTTTAAATTAATGTAGGAAGTTTCTTCTTTTGCATTATTCACTTGAAAATAGTTTTACAATTTTATTTAAGAAAAAAACGTGGAGGAGACATTTAGGTGAAATAATTATAGTTGGCTGTGAGGGTAATTGTATGGGTGGTAATACTGAACAACTGATAAGTTGAAGAGCAAATGTTTTGTCACTTTTGTGGTCTAGTTCTGAAAAGGAGTCTACACATATTAAAACAAAAAAGCAAAATGTAAGCCCGCCCACCCACTCTATCTCAATTGTGATGATTTTTTTATTCTCCGAGAGCCAAGGGGGCGGAGTTTAATTGCAAAATACTTATTTCTTTACAAGAAATTAAAAACATAATTTTGAGTATCGTTTTGTTCAGCGAATACTATGCATATTAAGAAAAAAAGGCGAAATATAAACCCCCATCCCAATTGTCATGATTTTTTTATTCTTAGAAACTTAAAACACGTTTAAAATGGTAATTTTTGTAATGAAATAAGGATTTTGCAGTTATGCTCCGCCCTCTTGCTTCACGACGAATAAAAAGAATCATCAGAATTGAGACAGGGCGGGTGGGCGGGGCATATATTTTGCCTTTTTTTTTTCTTAGTATACATAGCTATCTTTTCACAACAAAAAACTTAAAACATTGGGCGAAACCTAATTGCAAAATCGATATTTCCGTATAGTAATTTTCCATTTTAAACATGTTTAAAGTTTCTTGTTGTGACAAGAAGTCTACGCATATTAAAACAAAAAGGAAAAATGAAAGCCCGCCCACGCACCCTATCTCAATTGTGATGACTTTTTTTATTCGCCGAGAGCCAAGGAGGCGGAGTTTAACTGCAAAATTCTTGTTTCTTTACAAGAAATTAAAAACATGCTTTTGAGTATCGTTTTGTTCAGCGAATACTATGCATATTAAGAAAAAAAGGCGAAATATAAACCCCCATCCCAATTGTCATGATTTTTTTATTCTTAGAAACTTAAAACACGTTTAAAATGGTAATTTTTGTAATGAAATAAGGACGCTGCGCGTCTCGGGTTCTAATTTGCGCTCGGTCTAGAATGCTTGGCTTTGCAACCTTGGCTAATAATATACTATTTGAGTATCGCATTCAAAGAGTACTATGTATAATAAGAAAAAAAGTCAACATATAAACCCCATTCCAATTGTCATGATTTTTTTATTCTTAGAAACTTAAAACGCGTTTAAAATGGTAATTTTTGTTATGAAATAAGGATTTTGCAGTTAAGCTCCGCCCTCTTGGGTCACGACGAATAAAAAGAATCATCAGAATTGAGATAGGGCGGGTGGGCGGGGCATATATTTTGCCTTTTTTTTCTTAATATACATAGTCATGTTTTCACAACAAGAAACTTAAAACGTACGGCGCAGCCTAATAGCAAAATCGATATCTACACATATTAAAAAAAAAGCAAAATGTAAGCCCGCCCACTCAACCTATCTCAATTTTGATCATTTTTTTTTATTCGTCGAGAGCCAAGGGGACGGACTTCAACTGCAAAATACTTGTTTCTTTAGAAGAAATTAAAAACATGTTTTTGAGTATCGTATTCAAAGAATACTATGTATAATAACAAAAAAAGCAAAATATAGACCCCGCCCACCCGCCCTATCTCAATTGTTGATTTTTTGATTCTTAGAACTTAATTACGTTTAAAATGGTAAACTTTTTGTAAAGAACTATGGATTTTACAATTAGGCTTCTCCCCTTATATATATATAAACATTTTTTCGAAAAATTAGAAACACTGTCAGTGCCAAAAAGTGATTTTGTTAAATACCAAAAAATGTTATGTGGCGTCGACCAAATTTTCTGAACGACTAGATTCGATTAGTTCAAGGTTATGTTACTACTGTTTTACGTCAAATTGAGGGCAGTAGTACCACCCAAAGTTTGACACACAATGCCAACTATAATTAATTTTATTTTAGATCGCACGGTATTTAAAATTAAGAACATGCATATGGGGATATAAAAATCACTATTATTTCCACTCACGTTTAAAGGTAAGGCGAAATAGGTATCAAAGCAGACTAGCAGTACAAACAGCGCTGTGATGAAATAGTAAATAGCGGCCATTTTCGCATTGGAAATCATTGTGGTAGTTAATAGTGAGACTACGGCTGTGAAAGTCCCACTAATATTAGAGCCTAAAACCACAGCTCCTGTGTATTTGCCTGGCAGTTTAGCGGCCATACCAAAAATGGTGTTCTGGTAAATACCATTAGCCACTGAAACAAACGCATCCTACACAAACCACCTACTAATCAAAACCAACTTACTATTTAAAACAATCACACACAGTATAGTAATCCAAAAAAATGTAACTGGCCAAGAACTTGTGTCTATCATTGCAAGTATAACTGTTACTATAAAAACGACTACTTCGATACTAATGCTCCAAACTATTCTCGTGGTCAAATTACCACTAAAAACAACAAATGATTACCTGTAGCGTCAGCGTACTCACCGTCCGCTTACCCAATTTGTATAAAAATATTAAGCCAATTGAAAAACACATTAGGAACTTGGGCCGCAAAAGTAAGATATTGCATAAAATTCGTCACGTAGGGCGAAGACTCGCCGGTATATTCTTTTGACAACTTGTGTTCTGTAAAATACTGTGAAAAATGTTACTACAAATCACTTCTTCTGCAAACGCATGTACCTTGTCGGCAGTGATGAACATATTCCAAGGCATTAAAACTCCAATTCCATGGATCAAAAACGTTAAATACACTAAATTATATCTGTCTGGGGGTGTGTTTAATTGCAAACTAGCATCATCCATGGTTAGGTTCTTAAAATTCAGCTCGTCTTCCGGCAAATTGTTTTCTTCCCAAGACGGCTGCAACTTCACAGGCTGTTGCAACTTGGACCTTTCGCCTTCCTCTCCTGCAAAAAATCGAGTTATTTTAGACACTAGATTTCATTATCGCACTTATGATAACCTCCGTTTTAAATCGCAAACCACCCAGTAAGAAATTACTTAAAATAAATTACGCTGCGCCAAATATATTGATGTTCTGTGAATAGAACTGTTTATTTGAGGTGATGCATGGATAATTTTATAACGCCGCGATTATCCCTTGCACTACGACTCGCATAAATGCACTAACCTTTTTAAAAATGTACACTCGACCCTGCGAATGCTCTAATTATTTACAACTGACGCAAATGCACCATGCACTTACTCGTCTTACTGGTTTTCGAGAGGAATTTTATTGGTTTTTAAAATTAAGCGTTCTATAGAAATGTTTAAACTAGTTTAATTCGATAAATTGTGCTATGACGACAATTACAGATCGTAAATTCGGTTGTGCTCGAGAAGAAATGCATTTTTTGTTTTTTAGCCACTTACACAGTCAGAGAAGTCTTCCTGGAAGCATCAGGTGGTGCGGTATCTTTTAGGAGTTTTAAGCCATTAACATTAACGGAAGTGCCGGTGTCGATTATAATTCCACTACTTAATGTGTACCCTTATAGCATGTAATAAATCTATTAAATGTGAGTGGCATACAGCGCGCTACATCCATTATCTGAACACGCTTTTTCTACTTAAAGTGGGAGCAAATTGAGTTAAGTCAGGTACACGTTAAGACTGGTAAATAAAAATGTAGTTTTAATTTTATTTTTCATGGTGGCACTTTCGTCGCATCTGCTGATTATATTTAACACGTTGCAAACCATTTAATAACACACTCCTTTTAATTTCAAATATCCTTGAAACTGTCATCTTCATGATTATTAATTTTCTAGTGTTATAAATCCATATGAAGGTAACAACCATATTTTTTTTTTTGAAAGATTAACAATCAACTTCATTCGACACCGACTATCGTAGTCTTAGCATAACTGCAGTTATGACGATGAGAATACCTCAGAATTTCTGCTTAAAAGTCAAATAACGCAAAAAAAATTACCTAAGTTTAGTTTGGCTTCATTTATGTATAAGAATCTCCTGTTGTGACATCTTATAAAAAATAAGTATTTTCGGTAAAGTTATACTAGCACATAAAAAGTTACAAGGTGGCACTTAGGGCGAACTTCTCTGGCCTGCTGATGATTTAATTATTATTAATCTTAAAACCATTTCCAACGCCTTGAAATACGTTCGAATAAAAATCTTCTCGCAGTTAACCATAATGTCAGGATTATTTACAGTAACTGAACTTTAATTTACTGCCATTTTCACTTTGACAGATTAATGTATATAGATTTGTAAATATATGTTTTCGTGCACATTTCCGTAGTTCTAAGAAGTTTTTAGTTAGAACATGTGTTCAACTTAAATTAAAATGAAAAATACACTCATTAAAAACCACAAAGTCAATAAAATATGCATATGTAAATAAATACGGCTGATATATACATACTATGAGGTTTTTTCTGTGAAAAATTCTTGCGTGATTTTGTAGGAAAAACACAGACATAATGACTACCTTAAATATAATATGGACATGTCTGTGTTTGTTCAATTTATAAACGCGTTTATGCAATATTGTGCATTTTCAAATTTGTATTCCTAGTGCGTTTTTTGTTACCAATAATTGAAGTTATATCATACATTTATGCAAGGTCGTTTAAAAACTAGTGGGAGTAATATTTTAGAAAAACAAATGAACATTTTTTCATTGCACAGGGTCACGGTGTCAATCAGCTAAGAGGGGTCACCTCGAATAATTTTTTTACGTATTAGCCATAAGTAATAATATAAATTTGCAAAGGAGAATAATATACTGCCCACGTGCATACGTAAATTCGCTGCTTAAAAAAAACAACGAAAAATTTGTTTGCTGAAATACCATTTAACTTTTGTTTATTTTTCAGATTTTGCAGGTTTTTTAATTACAATCGATCCAGCAGTTTCGGGTGTTATGTGCCTAATAAAAATCAGTACAGATAAAAGACAGACAGACGGAAACGAAAGGACTATTGTTTCATATTCTAGACGTCATGAAAGTAGCCAGTCACCGGATTAACCGTCTCGCAAATCACAATACTTCCTTAGCTTACGCTGATTATATAATTTAAAAAAGTAACTATTAGCTTCTTATTTAATATTACCAAATTATTGCAATTTTTCTTAAAAAAAATTGGTCGAAGGTTATTTCGACAGAATTTCCCTTAAAGTATAATCCAACAAATCCAGCGTCTTGAAAAAATTATACAATTTGATTTTACGATTTTCGTTTTTGTGATAACCTTTACAAAGTAAAACTAGCGGCATAAATAACACCCCTTCAGCCCCTGTGCCAATAATTTGCATCCAAGTACGGGAAAAAATCTTCTCTCAGCACTAGTAACGAGCTTCAGTTCAAGTGTTTTCGAAAGAATGTCACGTAGAAATTAGGTTGATTTGAATAAGTTTGTCTCCCCAAAATAGAGGACTAAAATTGTTAATTAATCACACAATCGAACAAAATGTTCTAAATATTATAATTATTATTTTATCATTATTAAATAAAACGTGCGTATTCCCACATTTTCGAGAAAACGGGGTGAGTCGTTTTCATTCGATAAAAAAAATTGTGAATACTAGTCATAGCACAAAAGAAAAAAAAAAAAGGTTAGCGGTCTCCCAAATGACTGACATCTCCACGAAGCGTTATATCCCGTAGTAGTAAAATATATATACTTTGCAAATGTTTTTGCGAAAATTTGGACGTTTAGGGAAAAAATTCAAAGCGGTTTCGTACACCACAAATATAGGAGTATATTGTTGTATAACATCTAATCAGTTTAAAAATAGAATTCTTTGAGATGACGCCATCAAATTGTTGGTGGGGATGATTATCCAAATTTTGGTTAGCGTTTAGCCATCTACATGATATTCTTATATACATACAAAATTTAATAACAATCAATCCAGTAGTTTCGGAGACAGACAGACGGACGGAAACGGAATATCACTTTTTTCGTGCTTAGGGGTCATGAAACGTTGAGAAAATATGAAACTGGCAAGTCGCCCGATGGACTCGATTACTATACGTCCTTAGTTTATGCTCGGGAAGTAAAAATAACTAATTTTCTGTCTAATACTGTCCTGTGCGACTTCATATACATAAAATTTGGTAAAATGATGGATTAGGTTATTCAGAAAAGAATAATAAGTGAAATAATTTTGATCTACATACATGTTATCATAAAATAAAAAATTGGTCGAAGGTTATGTCGTCTCTGAAATAAAATAATACAAATCCAGCTTTTTCGAAAAATTATAAAATTTGATTATGCGAATTTTATTTTTTAATGAGAACCCCAATACGTTAAAATAAAGAAATGCAATTACATAATATAATAATAATAACAATAACGTTAAAGTAAATGTAAATAAGCGTACTGGGCGTCTGTTCCAAACGAGTTTTCGCTTAACAAAATTTTGTGATGACTTCATCAACATTTTTGCAAAGATACGTAAATCACTTTGGATAGGTGCAATACAGTATTGTATTCCCAAATTTTTGGGAAAACTGTAGACAGGGTGACTCATAAAAATTAGAAGAAATTTAAAAACTTTTAATGCAATGATGAATCACAAGTATAGACTCATCATATTTTGCAGATTTTGCATAGGATTTATTCGGCAAAATTTTGAGATGACGTCATCAATTTTTTGAGAGGGGATAAACGAATAAATTTTGCTTAACGATTTACCATGATTACGATAACTTTAAAATATTTACAAAATTTCAGAGCAATCAGTTTTGCGGTTTCAATGTTATAATGCAAAATATTGTTACTCAGTTTTGAGTTTTTTCAAAAATTCTGGATTTCTAGGGTGAAAATTCGACATGGATTCACACACCACAAAAAAATTTTAAAAAACTTTTTACTATAAATTTTGGAAATGACGTCATCCCACTAATGGTGTGCTATATTTGTGAATTAGGAAAGGCTCCCAGGTTGATGATTTAGGGGTTACTAACGCAAGTATCTTCAAAGGGACCACTTCTTGGTTAGTGAGCGCGGTGAAACACGTTAAATTTAAAAGTAAGTCTGATTTAGTTTGTAATTTCATCCAAGGACAGTTCGGACAAAAGGAAATCGCATTTGACGTCCTCCTTCAATGCGTGTAATTAGTGTAAGATCAGTTTATTAACGAGTTTCCAATCTGAAATGTAAAATTTTGTCGAATTTGTCAACACGTGTTATTTTCATGTTATTCTTTGTAAATTCACCGTTCTAATGCAATTTAAGTACAATAATTTGTAAATGTTCATATAAAACACGTGAAAATTGAGTTTTTCAGACTTAAATTATATTTTGTAATGATTTGTCGTAAAGTTCTCAAGTAACTTTAAAGGTGCATCCATTTTGAGAGAAAGACCTTGAAAATTATCACCAGTTAAATTCATATCATCATGGATGACTAAAAACAGGACTTGTATTTTTTGTTTATGTTGTCGTGTGTTAATGTGTTATTTTCTTAGTAATTTAATCATTCTCTCACAGCTTGAATGTGAACATTTTTCTCGGATTATTGTTTTGATTTTCACAGTATGTAATCTGTGCATGTGTTCGTTGTGTTATATTTTGTTGTGTTTGTTGTGTTATATTCGTTGAATTAACATCATCTAAATTTTTTGTTGTTTACAGTTTCAGTGATTCATTTATTCATCATCACAACTTCCGGAGTACAAATTTCAGATTAATGCCGTCACCTGTATATAGGTGACAGTTTCCGAACCTATTTTCGACTTACACATGTCTTTTTTTCAATAACAAAATGAACTACTTGAAGTTCATCGGTCAATTGTAACCATGTTCGTAATGGGGATTTTAACACAATTTGTCTCAACTTTGTTCTTTATTATTCTCTTCCGCTTTACTTGGCGTAAGTATGTGTTGTAGCCTGTGAATCTAGCAACACAACTGAGGAGAACTCGATCGCCTTGATCAGAGCTATCGATTCCTTAACCGTGATCTATGATTTGGACTCCCGATATAGTCCTTGCGGTTTTGTTCATATTTAAATTTGCCACCACACCATCATAATTTTTCTTCTCCAAAATGGAAGAATACATTTTTTTTTAATTTTGGGCTCATGTTTAATTTTGGCGGGATGTTTGGGATAACACATTGTCAAAAAAAATTGCAAGCTAATGACCAGTATACACCAGCATCATGATGCAACAAAAAAATATTTGCTGTAGATGTAATTTTTTATTACTTTTGAATTATTTAATTACTGGAAAATAAGTGCGTCAATTTTTGCTTTTTCTGATTATTTTGGTGGAAAAAAATCACTAATTTCATACTTTACCATCACTACGTACAACTGTTGTATTTTTACGTAATTGTAATCGTAATATTGGATATAAATGTAAACATACTTCTGTGTGTGTTCAAAAAACCACGTGTCTTATTACGCTCAGAATAAATGAATACATGCGCAACGCGCATAGTTCAAACTGGTTTACATGCCACCGAGGAATTACCCAGTATTTGATTTATAAATTAGTGAACGAATCTAAATTTCCAAGCATATTAATTGTCGAACACAATTACTATATAAAAAAAATCACTGTTATGAATTTGAAGGTTTTTTTTAATGGTTGTGGCTGCAACCAGTAATACACGCTTGAGGGTTGGATCAATGCAACCGAGCGGGGCGTCAGCCGTCATCAATTCAGAATATTTATTCACTCACTTAATACAACCGTGCCTTTACCAAAACCCTTATTTTGTGGTTAAAACGGCAACAGATATCTTTTATTTTACCTGCTTATAATTTCCCATAGATCACCTACACGTGCCCCGAAATCCAACAATCGCAAAACGAGAAACAGAAGATTATTCATACTTACCATGTTGCAAAGGCTGTACGACACCATTTTTATCGCCGTAAGGATAATCTCCCCTGCTATAACTCATTGTCCTCTCTTTACACTCCTGTCTTCCTACTTCTAATATATATCAGTAAATCCTGCAAAAATAAAAACGTGCTCTATAAAACTGCTTTTAATAATCGTTTTTTAAGCAAAAACCGCCACAACTTTACTCACAATTTCGCCGCAAACCCTTCCGTGATACAAACACGTGCTTTTTAACCTAACCTTCAAGAGTGCATTCGGTGCTACTTTTAAAAATAGATAGTGACTTGCTCAAAGCAGCGAATTGGCGCATTTTTTTTTCTGACGGAGTTTAGCAAAAAACCTATTAAGCATCTAGAATACAGAATAGATGACGTCACTTCCGGCTTGCCCGGCGGCAACAATGATTATAATTATCCTTATTGTCTCCGGTCTGTAATTTAGCACTCGTCGAATCTGAACTTTAAATTGTAATGGATGTCGGTCGCGATTCTCCGCGACTAATTAAAACCGAGATGACAGTTATTGGAGTCAGGGATCAATTGGTATCAAATTATGTTAATGCTTTGTATGAAATTTATTCGATAAACTGATAAAGCCGACTCTAATCAGTTTAGCCAACGGCAACATTTGGCCTGTTTCGGAGTGCACCAAGTTCGGTCTAATTTCCGCTAGCGCTGGGGGAAAAACAGTGCCAAAGTGACACAAGTTTGGCGCTTCGTGTGCAGGAAGTCGTTGATGCACACTAGTGGTTCTAGGGAGGGAATATTAGGGAGCGATTAACTTATTGAAGCAGTAGACCGTGTTCGCGTATCAATTTTAATTAAAATTTCAACAGGTCCAAGATTAAAGAGACGCGATTTCGGGACTTTCGCACCGTAAGCAATTGCGCTGTATTATTTTTGCGGCGGTCGGGCAAACAAACGCAATATTAACGAAGTATTCCAGGAGATAAATCGGACTCTGTGTAAACAAATTGGGCTTTATGGGTTCGTAAATATTACTACGACTATAACAGTGCAGCGATTGGGCCGAATTGATCGATTCGGTGATGAATTAGGGGGAATTTGACACACACGCACCTTAAAATACACACAAGGAATTTTGTGGACACGATTTGTAATAAAATATTTAATATAGAGTTAATGACAACGACAAGTTCACGTGTTTTTATGACACTTCACGTTTTGGCATTCCATTTCAACGAAAATACACATCGTAAACAAAAAAATTTCGAATGTTCTTGGTTTGGCGCGAGCTTGGAGATCACTGGTTTGTTCGTTGTTGTCTCGGTGATTATCAGCCGTAATTCTCCCTACTATCAAATACTATAACTTTATTACTAAAAATATCGTAAACTAAGGTCAACAAAAACATGCGTGGAAAGTTCTGCAAGGGTTTAGATTGAATTTTTACAAAGTAACACTTGTCTACCATGAAAAAGCATCATGAATGACGACTACGTGATAAATTTTTTGAGAATGGTCTGAGTAATTTATTGATTCAAGGCTTTTTCAGAGATCAATAGTGTCTAAACGTTTTTATTTTTGTCAGTGTTACGTTAAGAATGCAAACGACCACTGTTATTCTTATTGTGTCGAATACATTATTACTGGAACTCTATTTTGGTATCTATTAAGATCGTATTGCCTTGTGAAGTTAAAGATGGTAAACAGATTCAAAATGACACTGTATCAGTAGCAGGTAGACTAGTTCCAGGGACGTACTTTTACAAGTTCAGTTTGTGGTCAGAGAGGAACTTTTTAAAGATGTAATTGAAGATTACTCAATTTTGAAACAAACAAAAGGGAAAACAGTCCCACTTTAATGTAATATCATGTATTTACTGAAGATATCAAATATTAATTATCCATACCATTTAAATAAAGTATATTCAACTTGGGAAAATCTATTTTAAAAGACTTGCCGCCGCAACAATCACATGTTGGTATTTTACACACAGCATGCTAACCTTGCGGGGTTTTACGTTACCAATTTTCATCTAAATTTTTTTCTTTTCCAGGGTAAGTTGATAGCAATTTTCTGCTTAATTTAATATTCCAAGTATTTAAGTAGCATTCCAAATGAACATCGTCTTTAAGGTGGAACGCTAAACGACAGGCAAATTTGAATTAGACGTCATTTATTGCTCTAAATGCAACCAACAGTTTTTCCTAAAATCTACCTGAGCTCAGGAATAGAGAGTTACGGGACATAGGTCATAAAGTCATAATCATAAAACCATCCTAAGTTGATGCTAAAGAGTACTGATAATAATTTTTGACAGGCTATCGACAATACAAGTTTCCGTATTCTTTTGAAATATTTGAATTAAACTTAGGTTCTATGGGTTAATATACCGTGGCGGCCAAAATAAAGTAGGACACCTCTTGAAAGGATTTTTGTCAAGAAATTTAGTTGTGTAAACTGGACTAACGTCAATACAGATTAGTTACACTAGGGAAGAAAAGTGCCCTTCTTTATTTTCACCGTCACTGTAAATCTATTAATTATATTTTAGGTAGCCACTCAATCTATATATATTATATATTTAAATTATTATCAAATTGTTGCTCTGTCATACTGAATTACGTAAAAAAGACACATCAATTAAATAAATGTTTGTATTTATAAAAAAGAAGATAAATTTTACTAAAAGGGGCAACTCCAAAAATGGTCATTGATTATTATTAGGTTTTTATTTAGAAAAAAATAAATACATTTGTAATATTTTTATCTTGTTTTTTCTTACTGCAATTTGGGTTTTTTTTTTAAAGAATGTGAATAAAATTTAATGCTCTTCCGTTGGTAGGTAAATATAATTTTTATTAATATATTTTTATACTTTTTATTGACAAGAAAATCTTTTATTTTTCTTCCTTATATCTACGCAACTTATTAGAGCATTCACTAGTAAACTTTTTGCTAAAAAAACATCTATGAAATAATTGAGAATATTAGACTGCTCCGCCTCCTCACTGAGGGTTTCCATAATCCCTAAACACTTTGACAGAATAAAGTGGACAAAGATCAAAATTTCCTGCTTTGATTCCAGAAAACTTTGAATTCGAAACGAGAAAATTTGACATAATATTTTAAACCAAACAGTGATGTGATGTTTTAACAATAATGGGTCTTTATTTGGTAGAATTTAGATGGGAAGTTTTATTTTTTTTTTTTTTTTAATAACAGTCCAACCTGATCTAGTGAGCGATCGAAAATACCGACGAATATTATCACTTTGAAAATGACACAGGACGAAACTTCGGAATGAAATGTAGAAAAATTATAGCATAACCTTTGTGTTTGTTCAAATGATGAAACATGTTCCCGGTTAATTTGTTTTTTTATGCTTTTTTTTATTTTCATGTTTTTCTTCATTGACTTCATGTTAATAATTTATACATATTAGTTTTTTTTTTTCACATATGTATGTGTGAATCTGACTGCAGAATCTAATACTCTGAATTCTTGAAAACGCTTTAAGGTTATCGTAATCATGGTAAAAGGTTAATCAAAGGTAATGCTTTTATCCCCTCCCAAAAAATTAATAATGTCAGCAGACAATTTTACCGAATAAATGTTATTTAAATTTTATAGAATAACATACACTTACACTTGTGGTTTATAAATCCGTGTTGAGTTCTGACCGTAGATACAGATTTTTGAGAAAAAACTTTAAATTGTATAACAATATTTATACTCCTGTAATTGTGACAGATTTCAGGTTTTTGGAAAAAACCAAAACTGTATACCAACATTTTACGATTTAATTCTGAAATTGCAAAACCAAATGTTCTGGAAACATCCAGCATTTTCGAGTTGAGTTTTTACTTTACACAATTTTGTCATCAACATTTTTGCAAGGACATGTATTATCAACTTGGTGCATTGTAATACTAAAGATACCAGTACCGTATTCCCAAAATTTTCTGGGAATATGGGGTGTTCCTAATTTAATCAATAAAATAAACTGACTCATTCATTTTTTTTTTTTTTGAACCACATGTATAAACAGATCTAAAAAATATGAATGCAGTGATAAATCACAAATAAAAATTCATCATATTTTGGACATTTTAGATAGGATTTATCCAGCAAAATTTTGAGGTGACGTCATCATTTTTTTGAGGGATAAAATACATTTTGGTCAAAAATTTACCAAGCTTATGATAACTTTAAAATATCCCCAAAATTTCAAATCATTCGGATGATTAGACAAAGTTTGGGTACCGTTTTAACATCTACATGATATTATGCACATACAAAATTTGACAACAATCGGTCCAGTAGTTTCGGAGATTATCTGTCTAATAAAAATCCGGACAGACGGCAGACAGACGGACACGGAAACGGGAGACCTATTTCTTCGTACTGTAAGGGTCATGAAAAGTCGAGAAAACATAAAAATAGAGTCGGTCGACGGACTCGATTACAATACTTCCTTCGCTTATGCTCGGGAAGTAAAAATGTACGTACGTTTGTCTTGACTGCGATTAGGATTAAAATATTTCACTTTCCTCATGTCACTGACCTCATCACAATGTAAGATTTTATTTGTAAGTATTTTATCAATTTTATCGACTCAAAGGTATTAACAGTCATATATTTTCATTTCGTTCATTCAGTTTACAGGCGTTTAAAAAAAAAACAAGGTCTAAACGTTAATAAAACATGATCCAAAACAATAGCAATTAGGAGTATATGTTATCAATATTTTACTTTATCTAATATTCTTCTTGATTAATTATTTCTGAACAATAGCTAGTCATTCTGATTTACAACAAAACTCCATTAAATACACGATTGTAAAAATACAAGTTTTTAATACCATGGTAGCAATTTCAAGTACACTCAAGTTTTGCCGAACCACGGTATCTTCTCTTTTTATATACAGATGTAGACATTGATCCGAAAAACAGTAGTACAATCATATATCTAATACTATTATTAGTTATTAGTAGTATTAGATATATGAGTACTATAGCGTACCGGGTGACTGTTAATGATAAAGACTGAAGCGAATTTTTGTGTTGGTAATTCTGGATTATTGGCAGCTATGTTAGCATCACAGTTCGCGTGTTGATTGGTTGAAATGATGACCGCTAGCCGCTACTACCTTGGTGTCATAAATGTCAATTTAACAATCAAGCATACCATCATAAAATTTTAATATGTTGCCAACCTGCCAATAAAAATCACAAACATTAATAGTCGTTTGGTATTATTGCTCCTTACAAATATTTATAATCTGAACAGACTTCACCAACGAAACTTTTGCTTTTCCCTTCAAATGATTGTTTTTTTATTACATTTTCGTGGTGGTCACAAAGTTTGCAATGTTTGAAAAAAGTAATAAATATTGTAATCAGTGACGAAGAAAATCCACTGTGTTGACATTCTTTTGACAAAGATGTATTTATGTTTACATCTGCTGCTTGCGTGTTGATATTGGTTATCACATTTTTAAATATATGTACATATATCTGGTGTATATACTAAATGCAGTGATAATGGTAATACCAGTATAAGCTTTACTTACACGATAACGAAAGAAGCAAAATAA